ATGGTGACAGATGGACGTGTAGTCTTCCCAGTCAATGGATGATGTGGCTGTGTGGGCGGAGCTTTAAAAAAACAGGAAGCTGCACAGAGAAGCACCCCACAATCCAGGTAAGTGGGGGGGGGGTTGTTGGGAAATGGGACAATGTTTCATGCTGCACACTAAATCTTAAGGAATATGCAATGGAAGGAATGGGAAGTAACAAAGCCGGGACTATGACAGGGAGATCTCAGCATGATAATCCTCAGGAAACAAGCAGCTGATTTGGCTCAGCGGACCTACAACTGGAATCATTTCTTAGGAGGATTGGATGTTTAACCCTTTCATGTACCGGCAGAATGATTGGCGTATGTTAAATAAATGACGTTGTGCCGCAGCAACTACAACATGTTCCCCTACCGAACCCGAGTGAAAATCTTCTGGAAATAGTAACTGTGAAGGTTGATATTTGCATATAGCGGGGCGCGTTCCACCCTGCATGTGACAGTGCTTGGGCCTGACAATTGGGCACTGTGTGGTGGAAGGCTGAGATCCATGTCCCATACTGCATGTAGCTTGTATTGGAGCGGAGGAGTGAAGGGGAATACTATACAGTGGCACCTGACTGACCCTAAAATATGTTCAATGCACATATCATAGGGGAATGTTGTCACAGTGAGTGGCACCAGGGCCTCTTTATTTTGTAGACTGACCCTATAATGTGCACTTGTGTGAACGGTCCTGATTGAGATGAATAGGTTTAGATGTGCGAAGCATAACCAAGCCTCGGATACATTGGAATTGAATTTCTTAATACATTTCAGTACACAAGGCTTACTTTGTAGTGCAAAACACCGAAGGATCTCAAATCGGATATTAACAGCTGCGATCATCTCCATTATTGTTATTAAAACATGGAAAGCATTTGTGATGCAGAACATGTTCTCATTGAAAATGACAATATAGGAATGTGAGCTCATCCTGCTGAGGGTAAAGCTGGCCGCGAAGGAAAAGATGTCCCCCCAGTGCATGATGGTTAGGGAGACATTCGTCTGACCATAAAGTATTTGTTAGCCCTAAATCTATTTTTAGGTATGTTTGGCATCGCGCCTCGCGGTATACAGCTTTACTACGGAAATCTCTTTTCTAAATCTGTTGTAAGTTTCATCCGGAGATCCTGCTAAGCCGCCGCCTAGCGATTGGCAGCAGGGTTGTCTGCCTACCGTATGGGCTCCTTCTGTTGGCTATTGGGCTGCTTATCTACTAAGTGGTCTCCTTCGTTTGACCATTGGGCTGCCATGCGCACTTCTTCAGTTGGCCATCAGCTGCCTGATTGCCATTAACGAGCTGCCTGATTGCCATGTGCGCTCCTTCAGCTGGCCAACGAGCTGCCTGATTGCCATGTGCGCTCCTTCAGCTGGCCAACGAGCTGCCTGATTGCCATGTGCGCTCCTTCAGCTGACCCACAAGCTGGCTGATTGCCATGTGCGCTCCTTCAGCTGGCCAACGAGCTGCCTGATTGCCATGTGTGCTCCATCAGTTGGCGAACGAGCTGCCTGATTGCCATGTGCGCTCCTTCAGCTGGCCAACGAGCTGCCTGATTGCCATGTGCACTCCCTCAGCTGGCCAACGAGCTGCCTGATTGCCATGTGTGCTCCATCAGTTGGCCATTGGGCTTCCTGTTTTCCATGTGCGTCCTTTAGGTGCCCATTGGGCTGCCTGATTGCCATGTGCGCTCCTTTACTTGGCCATCAAGCTGCCTGATTACCATGTGTGCCCCTTCAGCTGCCCAATGGGCTTCCTGTCTGGCATGTATACTCTTCCAGTGCTGACCCTCTACCCCGGAAGCCCTCATCTGTCCTATTGTGGTAGCCGATGTTTGAGTGCACGGATCAGGCCCGACATGGCAACCATCATGTTCAAAGTGTTTGGAAAGGTTACTGTTGGCTGAATCACTTTGTGTGCATTGGCTGGAAGCCGCTGACATGGCCTATTGTCTGAGACCCGAGTCACTTCCCGCCAAAAGTTTATAAAAACCTCCAACTCCAAACATAGAGGTGACGGGGGTCTGCCTGGCTGTAGCTTTGCGTGTTTGGAGTTGTTTTGTAAGCAGTGCAGATTCCTGTGACGTCGGGGTGGTTGCAGAGCGCTATACGATGCTGGATAATCTCTTCCATATCAGTTTTGTTCCGCTTTGTCTGTACGGCATTTCAAATATTCATTCAGCTTCCGCGGACAGTTTTCTTTTCCAATGATCTGAGCACTTCACACTCCATGATGTAACCACTATAGTGTGGTGCTGCATCGGGTTCACCTTCTCAAGCTCCTGGTAGATCGCCTCTCTGATGATCGAAAATAGCTTTTCACACCCTCACTGTAGAGATCCAGGGGCGGTGTAGGGGGCACCCGGGCCAGCAGTTGGCCAAGGAAGAGAATGAGGCAGGGGATAGGTCCAGGACAACCTGGGCTCAGAGGGATTGAATAGTGCAGGCCATCTGACTGAGGCCATCTAGTGGCAGAAAAAGAGAACTGCAGCAGAAATCTCTGGCTTGTAGGTGGACATTGTAGCAAACGGCATTGAGAATGTTGTTTCTTTTAGAGGGCTCATTTTATCGTAGTTTTGGCTGGAGTTCTGTTTTAATACCCCAGCACCCTCGTCCCAGTCTTACTCATCCTTTCATCTGCTCTGTGGCTTCCTCGCGGGAGGGGGGCAGACTATGGGGGTCAAAGGGGCGGGGCTGACTCCAATCATATGCTGACATGAGACGAGCCAGGAAAATATAGCTTATGGGTTGTTTATTTTTTAACCTACTTCACTCTCCAGATACATAACTGAGCTGTCATGGCCGGCATGGAGACTCACAGCCTGTTGCTAAAATCTGCACAGTGCAGGAGCATCTTCAGCTCTCCCAGGATCTTATTGAAAGGCCCAGAAATG